AAAAAAAAAAAAGGATTTTTGGCACCTTGCAGTTACAATTTCAGATTGGGAGATTTAGTTAGAAATATAAATGTTGGACTCTCTGGAGCATTTAGGAAAACACTATCAAATATTTGAAATCAGAACCTTTTGAGAAATCGAGGAGGTATGGTAGGCTTCATGGAATAAGTTCCTTCTTATGCTTATACTATTCTCTATTCTATTGTAAGCTTAGAATAATGGTACGTGAAGCCCTGTGAAGGGAAAGGCTCTGTGGCGTTGTGGTTAATTCTTCTTTGGATTAATGAGAATTGAAGAAACAGTCCCTGCTTCAGCAAACTTGAGTGTTTACAACTTGCTAACCCAAGTAGCCTGCCTGCATCACAGAAGTATATTTTATTTTTAGTGATTAGATAGGATCCCATTCCTATGTAATAAAATTGATTTTATTCTCAGGAAAGATTCTTTGTAAGTAAAAAATAAAAAGTTCTAGATGACCACATTTTGCTAAATTTTATACATATGGTCACATGTTTGTCATCCTCTTGTGTAGTTCAAGAATGAAAATACTCATTAAAATAAAACTTTGTACAGGAAACTGTATGTCAGTTAAATTGTTAAAACTTTTTGGCAATTGGAAGCCAGATGCAAATAAAGTTCATAGGTCACTTTCCCTTCTGCCTGTTTCTACCTGCAAGCCCCTGAGAAGATTGTATTTACAACTGTATAGCCCCTTGACTAGGGACAAAGGAGAGATGGGATAGGCTTCCATTCCCTTTTTATTATAAATTTATCTGTTGTGATCCATGACTATTTTTCTTTCTCTTTTCTTTATAGATATAACCAAGAACTAAAAGCCAAAGCAAACAAATAAAAGACTTCCTGATCACCCAAACAATCTACATTGGACATAACCACTGGGACCTACTTTGATTTACTATTTGGTTATTGATAAGGTGATGCTAAGTGTGCTAACATTTGGAAGGCATTAAAAAAAAATCTAACTGTAACTGGGAGTTAGTACTTGATTCAGCAAAAAATAAAGCAAACTTTTAATAAGTGTCTCTTTACATATGACTTAAGGACCTTATCTATGGATATTAGTAACATTGTTTTCTACTGTTTGCCCACAGTGAATCCTTCTTGCTCATGTATAACCCTGGCATCCTTCTGTTCTAGTCAACCAAAGTGTCTATATATAAGAGCACACACATTCAATTAAGTTGAAAGGTTAAATAATCTGTTGTACAGTTGTCAGGTTGGGGAAAATTTCCCCCTTCCTTCCTTGGTTCTTTTGGCTGGTTGAATAATTAAAATGACATATGACAGATTAGCAGGAGAAAATCAAATTTTATACTGCACACAGGGAATTCACATAGCATGAAAAATTCCAAAAACGGTCAGGCAAAATAACGTATGTATGTCATTCTGGACTAAGGAGAAGGGGGCAGAGGCCTGGGACTTCAAAGGGAAAGGAGGCAATTTGCAGGAAGAAGAAAGAGTTAATGTTTGGTAAACAGATGTTTGCTGGGCTATCCGGAAGCAAGGGGATACAGAGAAGACTGATCAAACAGGTTGAGAGGTTCCTCCCTGTCCCCCACACCTGGTTCATGTTATACTACAGTTATGTATGGTGATATCGCCTTCCTTCAACAAGTCCTCTATCTGAATTCTTTTTAAGCAGTTGGGGGAACGTCAAGGTTCTTCTTGAGTCCTTTGGGCCTTGATTGTTTTTAGCCTGAAATAATCTGCATGCCAGAGTGGCACATCTTGGGGTGACCTATTCTGAACCCCTACACAGTGAAGGATGGTGAAGTAGCTAAAAGTGAAGGGAAATAGAGCTAACAAGAGTGAGAAATGGGTAGTGGAATGGCTAGCAAAATGACTTCAAATTTTAAAATATTTGAACTGGAAGAAACTTGAAGAATTTATTTTACATATTATATGAAATTCTTTTAAGCTACAGAATGACAAAGGATTTCTAAATTTTTGAATTAATTCAGTAACATATAATGTGGCAGAAGAGGCTCTAAATCAGCCAGACTTGAATTTGAATCCCAGCTCTATGTCATAATCTATGACTTTGGGCAAGTTGAGAAAGTGTCTAGCAGAGTGCCTGGGACATGAGTTGGCTTTCTGTAAACGTTTATGACCTTTATTCCCATTAGAGGGAGAGACTGGGCGTAGATTACTCCATACTGGAAATAACAGTCTATTTGATTTGAGTTCCAATTTGGAGTACTGAACTTTCTTCTAAAAATCCTAGTGAAACCAGTCCTGGCTAGAACTGTAGTCGGAGGAATCAGCAAAGCAAGTTATTTCTAAGTTTGAAGCAGCAAGTGAAAAAAGAATTTTTTGAATGATATGCCATAACTGATCAAAATTGGGCAATTAGCTATTGAAAAACTTGCACTTGATCATTTATCCCTTCACTACAGTCCATCCTTGAGGAGGAAGGATTAGAGAATTTGACATGGGCAAAAGTGAAGAGGTTCTGAAGAGTCAAATTATTACTGCTTTCTTTTTGTAATCCAGACTGTTAAATTAGTTTGTTTGGCGTATGTATGCAAACGTGTTATGTGTTTCCTTGGGTTAAGCACTTAGGAAAACATCTGTTAGGAAATATGGCATAGACACAAAAAGTCCGTTGAAATGTGTGTGTTGACTTGGTGTTTCACTTCCTTTTCATTAAAACCTGCTCTTGTGTGTATGCCCCTTGTCCTAAGCCCCACTTGTCAATGAAATAATTGTAGGATTTAGATGCAATCCTCCTCTTGGTTCTCAGAAGTTTCATCGACAGACCACGATCTCGTGCTTTCTTTATGCCCAGAAACCCTCATCCATCCCATTATTGAATCCTAAAAGTTAAGTGACTCACATGTGTATCTAGTTGAAAACTGACACTGCCATTTGGAACACAGCCCAGTGATCAGTTCCACAACTACTCTCAAAAACTTAGAAAGAATTTATATACTAGAAATCCTTATTATCAGTGTAGGAACTAAACTCCATAGAAATATCTTTCACAATAGTACAGATCTCTTGATCAGTCGAGTTGAATTCTATATAAAAATTTTCAAAGTCCTCATTGATGACTTCATTAGGTAAGTTTTCTCAGTGTCAGGTCTGACAGGCCTGGGTTTCAACTCAGCTCTGCCACATAGTACCTGTGAGACCTTGTTAAGCTGGTCTCTGAGATTTAGTATTTTCAAGAGTAAAGTGGCGATAATAATAGTACTACTTCATAGGATCGTTGTGAAGATTAATCAGATAATGTTTTAACACAGTGCCTGGTCCGTGATGGGTATTAAATAAAATGTAGGAAGTTTCAGAAAATGGTAAGCTTGTTAAAGGTAGATCAGAGGGCCGGCCCCGTGGCTCAGTGGTTAAATGCGTGAGCTCCACTGCTGGCGGCCTGGGTTCGGATCCCGGGTGCGCACCAACGCACCGCTTCTCCGGCCATGCTGAGGCTGCATCCCACATACAGCAACTAGAAGGATGTGCAGCTATGACATACAACTATCTACTGGGGCTTTGGGGGAAAAAAT